AGACGAGCGACTGAGCGGAGGGGGCAGAGACGAGCGACTGAGCGAAGGGGGAGGATCTTGAAGATGATCCTCGGAGACGAGTGGCTGAACGGAGGGGCGGATCTCAAAGACGAGAGGAGAGAGCCCTAGCCCTAGGGTCGGGTCTGGAGTGGAGGGTGGATAAGAATGAGAAAGCCCTATCCCTAGAATCCCCCTTAAGTATTTATATGGGTTGACATTTGTAAATAAAAATTTAGATGAGTAGTGTTTGCAAAAAGTTTAATTAATAGGACTAAAATGTGAAAAGTTATTGAATAGTTAGTAATCAACCGAATCGAACACATCTTTGAATAAATTCTATTCGTCTATAACCCGAATACTAAAAATTATTTGTTTAATACTAAATGAACTAACGAATCAAACTTGACCGAATTTATGGACGAATACTAAAACCGAATTGTTTATTAATTATTAGGTGCACCTACATCACTACTACGGACCGTCGACTGCCTTGAGTCCAAAGACTTAATATGCTTTTTAGTGGCTCGCGGTCGACCGTGGCGGTTGACCGGATGAAGTCCAGAAAGTTTTGCGGTCGATCGCCACGGTCGACCAGATGTCTTTTCAGAGCCCAGTTTTGCCTTTCTGTTGCTCGCGGTCGACCGCGAGAATTTCACGGTCGATCGCCGCACTATCTTTTCATTCACCAACAGCTATTTCCTGCAGCTGTTATTTGGGGTTTTTTGGTCTTTTGTTTAGGGTTTTTGGCTGAGGTTTTGGGAGGCTATAAATACCCCATTGATCTCAGTTCTCATATAAACCCAATGGAAAGTTTTAAAGAAGTTTTAAAGAGTTTTAACAAGGGTTTTAGTTGGGTTTAAAGTTTGTTTGGTTTGTGAAGATTGTTTTACAAGTGGAGAAGATCATCTACATTGATTGAGCCTCATTTTAATCCACATCTCCATCTTGTTTTTCAGAGAAGAATTTCTAAACTCTATTTCTAGCTATTTATTGTTTTATTCATAATTTCTATATGCTAGAATTTAATTTAGTTTAGTTGATTGTTTTTCTCATTGCTTACACACACAACCATTGAGCTTATTGTATTTTCATACTTAGTATAAATTGGATTGTGGGGAGTTGTAACAATTGAGAGTGAGCCTACATTGAGTTCTCATCCATAGTAAAGAACAACCATTATTGTATTTGTTACATTGTGGGATTGTAAAGTTTTCGGTTAGCTAGAAAACCGTGTGTGAGTAATTGTGTACGTTGATCGGTGAACGTTAAAAACCAACATTGTGAGTGATTGTGAACGTTAATCGGTGGGCGTTGAAAACCGACATTGTGAGATGTAAACGTTATTCGGATAAGCGTAGAAAACCCAGTTGTGATAGTGGAGATCTCCTCGAGGTGAGGAGCGGAGACGTAGGTCGTGGGGACCGAACTATGTGAACATATCATTTGTTTGAGATTGCATTGGCGCACTTATTTTCATAGTTAGCTGTTGCTATGGCATACATGGGTGCATGCTGTGTGGTCATGTGATGAAGAGACTTGATGAGAATGCGCCAAGAGCTTGACCATTTTTATAATTTGTGTGCATCATAGCAAAATTTAGTTAATGGCGCTTTACGATCAAAAATGGAGCACTTGTAAACTTTGCTATACAAGTGTGCATAGTGGTAGGTGATTTTATAAAAGTTATAGCACTAGATTTAGCAACACTTGTTCATAAAGTTTACTTATGATTATCAATGCGGCATGTGTTTTAATATGAATCAAAAACAAGATATGCGGGTTTTTCACTACGATTCAAACTCATTATTATGCAATACAAGCATTGGATAAAATAGAAGTAGAATGAAACATGATCATTTCTAAAAGGAATTAAAAATGCTTTCTAAAAGTAGTTCCTACTCTATCATAAGCATCATTATTATTTTCCAACTTAATAACCTCATTGTTTTCCTTGCAAGAATAGCATTCTCTTTAACAAACAATATCAAGTTTTGGAAGCTAGCAATAGATGAAGAATGTTTATTATTTTCCAAAACTTAAATAACTCATTGGTTATTCTTATCCAAGATAGCATTCTTTTAAAGCAACAATATGCAAGTTTGAGAAACTAAAGCGACTCATGATCGGATTGTAACTAATATGCTTGCTTTTAATTCAATAAAATTATTTTGGTAGTTGTAATTTAGTATAGTGCGAGATAATCTTTCATATGCACAAGCGAGTTATTAAGTCTCTGCTGCATGCTGACGAAAGGACAAACGAGCGGTCGACCGGTGCGGTCGACCGAAAACTGATATAACAGAAAACTAATTCTGAAAGTTGTTTTCTGAATTTAAAACACTGTTTAAAAATATCAAACAAATTCCAAAAAATATAAAACTTTGGAGAATGGTTGTAGACATGATAATAAATATGTTACAGTGACTGGTTATCAGAAAGGACCTCCCAAATGAAAAATATCATTATTTTACAAAATAGTCCAAAACATGAAAATATGAGATACTTGAATTTTGATGTTTTGACATAAACCAACTTTTGAAACTTTGTGAAATGTTTTTGTAGACTTAGTAAAACATGTATAACCTGATATTGAAGTCTACAAACTAAGAATACAATATTTTCACAAAATTGCATATTCTATGCAGTGTTTTCAAAAACACAATAGAAAATATGAAATATATAATTTCATATATATAATCATAAAAATTCAAAACACATGTATGTATATATAACTATATATATGCATAGAAACCAAAACTTCTGTATATGTATATAACTATATATATATACGAAGAAACCAATAAATGTGTGTGTATATGATATTGAGCTTAGAGTATCTAACACACATAATATAACATCTAAACTAAAGTTACCCAAGCAATGATCTTGATCTTCATTGTAGCTCAACTTGGTACACGTTGTGGATGAAGCTTGAATTTGATATCTAACTTGAATTGTATGTTGCTTCACTCCACAATTCCGCCAACCTCCATTTGATATCGTCGTTGAAGCGCTATTCCATCCATCCTCCAACTCGTTGTTTGTCTATAATATATAAGAAAACACAAATACTAGACAAACAACATTAGTGGTAAATTGTTTGTTAAACATCATCAAAACAAGAAGGCCAACAATCTCCCCCTTTTTGATGATGACAAACAATTTACAAAAAGAAATATATGCATGAAGGAAATGAATATATAATTTATAATTCACATGCATATAAACAAGAAAGAATACACTCACAATATTTCTCCCCCTTTGACAACATCAAAAAGGGAACAAAAGAATTAAGAGAGCGAAAGCTCCCCCTATCAATAAGCATAGGTGAGTATAAAAAAGATATAGGGATTGCTCCCCTATCAAAATGCCATATGGAGAATATGTAATAAAGATCATGGCAAATATGTGAGCAAGCATAAAAGATATGCTAACAATCACTCACATTCAAGAGATAATGAGAACACATATGAATATATCAATATGAAAAATAGTGTCTCATATCAAAGACCATAAAAACCATGTGTAAAGATAGATTATTTATGAAATCAAAAGAAGAGAAACATGAGAATCATGCAAAAAGTTTTCAAATGAAAACAAATCAACCAAAAGAAATCATA